CATGTCGTATCCGACAACGGGAGGCTTTTAACAGATGACGTCCTGATGTTAGCTTTGCTGCTGCTGTTAGCTGTCCCTGTCAGCTGCAGCCACTGATGCTTTCTAGACATCGTGATTTCCCAAAACTGAATAAATACCACACATAGCAACACAAAACTGCTTTGCTAGCTCAATCATGTTGAAATTAAGAATTTGCTGGAAAAAAATATTTTTTCAATCCAGTATCTTTGGTGAAACTGCACTGATTTCAGCACCAGAGAGGAGACATCTGTTGCCAGATCTCGTGAGAGTGTGTTGTTGAGACAGAGACAGGTCTTGAACAAAGTAAATTTTCTCCTGATTTGCTTCCGTGACAATGGGGTGAAAGAATCGGCCATAATCTGTAATCACATTCATTTCTTCCACTGAAGTCAATGGACTCAGGACCTGCTGTTATGGTGTGTTCCAGGCAGGCTTTTGAACTCGTAAGTCACGACTTCAAGTCACGAGTTACGACTTTGTAGGGTTCCAGGAAAGTTACGGCAAACTGCCAGTTACTTCCTGTTTAACCCTGAACATGGTTAAACAGTAACCATATGTTTTGCTTCCCCATTATTGCTATCACCAAAGGTGCCGGTTCCTTGCTCATTTGAGTGAAACGGAGGAGGAGAAACAGCGCATAAGGTCACAGATGCTATTATACTTTTTATTTTACGTTATCTGTGTGTTTGGAAAAGTATTTTGTATTGATTTATTCTTGCACTAGAAACCAGCTGTTAGAGCGGCTGCCAATAATGCGTTAACATTAGGGTTATTTTATGTCTATTTCTCACCATGTATCACCTGCATCAACACTGCATCCATAGGGCTGCCATTGTTGTTTAGAGGAGTAAGGTAATTGGTTTAGAGGGCTGTGTGACGTCAGAAAGCGTAACTGGGAGTACATCGATCTGGTACGAGTTCATGGGTGGGAAATTACAGGTTTGACTTTCACGGGTTACAGGTTGTGAAAACACAAGTTACGGGTTGCCTGGAACGCACCATAAGTCTCCTAAAGGGGTGTGGTGGTTGCGAACCCCACGTGACACTGATACAGGAAACTGACTCACAGTGGACCGTCTTGGGGTACGTCCCAAGTCATATAGTTATTTTATACCGCTAACTCCTAACTCCTTACTTGACCGGAAGAGGTCCGCCATCTTTAAGGCCGTCTCATGTCTCTTATTCCTGCCAGTAAGGAGTTAGCGTTAGGAGTTATGAGGGATCTGTTAGGTGCGATGAGTAAGGTAACACGAGAGGTTCCTAACAGGAAGTCTTTTTCAGCTTGAGGCCCTGATGTATAAATAAATGCCCCCTACATCTGGCTCATTTGAACGAGATGGCGGAGAAACAGCGCAAGTGTACCCGTTACATGCATTCTTTGCAATGAAATGCTGTAATTCACATGCCTACGTGACTACAAAGAGTAAGAGTAAGAGTAGGGTTATGGCTTTGATCAGCGAATATAATGTGACTTGGGATGTACGCCAAACGCTGGCTCCATTATGCAGCAGATCCAGCTGTGTTGGCATCATCAGAATAGGACGTCTCTTTACGTGACGCTTCAGAGTAAGGCCATCTCATGTCTCTTAATCAGCAATCCTCGCTCCTCACTCCTAATTCCTTGCATGTTTTCCTAAGTGGGAGGGACTAAACAGTCAGGTAAGGTGGCAAGGTTAAGTGGTTAGCAGTAATTTTAAGGGACTTGGGACGTACCCATGGTTTATCCACTGTCTTTGGTTGTTGTGAGTGCTCAGATAGCGGACTGACAATCTTCACCGACTTAATGAGTAGTTGTAATGTCGCCGTTTGACCAGCAGAGGTCAGTAACCCCCCCACCCGTACTGTCCGCGCTCCGCCGCTGGGGGGCGCCGCCTCCCCCGCTCCTCCCCGGGGTCTGATGGCAGGATGGCGGAGGCAGGGGGACCGGAGTCTGCCGCGGCCCGGTGCCCGGACGAGTCGTCGGACAGCGAGCCGGAGCAGGAGCCCGGAACCCCACAGAAACTCATCCGAAAAGTGTCCACTTCCGGCCAGATCCGCAGCAAGGTACAGGGGGGTTAAAGCACCGGCGGTGATTACCGGACATTATCTCCGGTCAGTGTGTGTTTTCATTCAGCGGGGGGAGGGCCACAGTCTGCCCCGAGGAGCACCGCTGTCCTCCAGGACAGAACGGCACACGGAGCTCCATAATCAAATCTAACATTTAACATGTCCGACCACCGGACACTTTTTCTAGAGGACACGTGACATCAGTCAAAACCTTCTTTAAACAAACAGATGCTGCTCTTTAATTCGGCACACACCACACACACCAAACTTCACTTGTGTTTAGTATATTTCATCTTTTATACCCGGGCTGACGCTCTCCTCTCCCGGCCCTGTCCTCCACTCCTCACCGTGCTCGGCTCAGTGACCGTTTAAAGAAACCCGGCCTTTCACCGATACCGGTGCTGGTTGGTAGATGTTGGGTGATGCCGGTTTAAAGAGTGGATGTGACTGAACCTTCACTCAGGTTAATCCTTGTTTTTACTGGACGCACCGGGTCTGAGGAGCGGTGTCTCTCTCAGATCTGACGGATTTTAAATGGAGTTTGGTGCAGTGCTGGTGGCTGGGAGAGAAAACGGTACATATGGGGGGTTCAGAGCCACAGCTGCTGCGCTTTACCTCCCGGTAAATGACATAACGACAAATTATAATATGATAAACAGTTTATTTTAAAATTTGTTCGGATCAAAACATAAAGTAAAGGTAGAATTCAATGTTATATCCCCTGTTTTTTTAAATGAACATCTCATTAGCCGTTATGTGTAGCTCGTAGCTAAGCTAATAAACAGAACCAGGATCCAGCCCGGGGTCCAAACATGGCCCCTGGAGATAAATGTGTTCCGGACACGGTTAAAACACATCAGACCGACCCGGTGTCAGGACAGACGTTGATTACTGGCTCCGGTTTACCGACACAAACCGGTAATTTAACGCAAAACTAACCAGGCTAACTACGGCTAGCTGGAGGGTCCCAGGCCCGATGAAAAGCCCCGCCGTTTCCCACTGATGCCCAACCGACAAAGGTGGGCTTTACCCCGTGGTGACGGTGGACTACAGGTCGGTGTTAGAATGATGGGAGATAACGGTCCTCAGGTTCATCATGTCCGGTAATAACGGACATTTCAAACGGTAAACTCAGCCGGCAGGTCGGTAACAAGTAAGCCGTTAAGTCCGTTACACTCTGCACGGTTCAACCGTCATAACATAACGGTGAAGTAAAATTAATTAAAACATTAAAATAGATTAAAACGGTTGAACTGTTGGAAGGTAACGGTTACATTTAAATATAATTAATTAAAGTATAAACTTAAGTGTAACGGCTCACCGTTAAGATAACGGTCCATATAATTAAAATAATAAAATAACAGCTGAACCCTTATTGAACCGTTAACGGTTCATTTTAATGAATTTACTAATAAAATAAAGTATAACGGTTCTTTTAAATAAATTAAAGTACAACAGTTAACCATCATAAGATAAGGGTTATTTTAAATTAATTAAAATAATAAAATATAAAACAAAATATAAAATACAGTGTTGAATAAAGTAAATAAAGGTGTTCATGTATAATGGTTTAAATCTGTTTTTATCCGTATACCAAATACGGAGCGTGGGCTGGAGAGGTGCCAGTTCACCTCCTGGACACTGCTGAGGTGCTCTTGAGCAAGGCACCAAAAACCCCAACCGCTCGGGGCGCCTGACCAAGGCAGCCCCCTCACTCTGACATCTCTCCACCTTGTGCCCCCTCAGGAGGGTTAATAAAGTATATAAACTAAATTAACAGAGACGTTTGCTGTTCCGTGGGAGATCAAGTTAAAAAGAGCTTTCTAAATTTGTCCTTGTCTCACTGTCTCTCAGAGACATTTTGTCCTGTTGACTGTGAGAAAGTGTGTTGTTGGACAGACCAGGGGTGTAAGTATAGACAGTGCAGGCAGTGTGGTTGCTGTGGGGCCTGATATGGTGGAGGGGCCCGGCCCCTGTACAGAGAGAGGTGATTCACCCTCGATTATGTTCCTGTGTTCAAAGAGGAATGACAGAAGAATGTTTATAAAAATGTGTCCTCTAAAGACAAAGCCATCGACATCATGCTTTACTTTTTTATCTTTTTATAAACTCAGTCGTTATCTAAAACAAAATTATGTGTTTTTTCTGCCTAAACTATAAAATCTATAATGAAACTACTAGAACGTTTCAATTTAATGATTCGTTTTCTTTGATGTTTCCGTCAGATATGCAAAATGATGATTCCTGGGTAATATTTGTGCTTGTGTTGTCAATTGTCAAGTCCCTATTTGTGTCAAGACAATACATGCACGATGGTGTGCACAAGGGCCCGTCCTGATAACGTGCACAAG